CGCCACCAAATTTTGAGGACACTTTTTTAATTGGCTCAAAGAGAGAAGTGGCCCATCTTGTTATGTACTATCATTGGTGCGGAGTAATTGCTACTCGCCGGAAGTAGTCATAGGTATCGCGACTTGGCGGAAATAATTGCTGGCAGTGTTGCCATTCTTATTTTTTATCACTAAATTTAGTGTTTTTTGGGTCGATTTAGTTTTTTAGTTTTTTTGCAGCACATTCAGTGATTTTTGTTTTGATTTGGTTTACTTACAACAATCATATAAAATCGATTAAATAATTTTGTCAATCTTTTGTTAAACGTTATAAACCAAAAACAAATAAATAAATAAATGCGAAAATGATGACTATAGTCCAAGAACAGTCTAAAATCTGGCCTGTCTAAAGATTATCAAGAATCACAGATGTTCAATAGGCCTATATATTATGAATAATATGTTTGACTGGTCAGAAAAAAAAAGAACCAGCTATTACAGTAAAATAAAAAAAAAGGAATAAACATGTAATATAAGTGGCAGATAAAATATTTTTAGTTTTTTTTTCGTCCCATTTAGTGGAATTTTTTCCCGAATTTAGTAGTCTCTTAAAAATCTGGATGGCAACACTGATTGCTGGGGTCGGAGTAATTGCTACTTGCCGGAAATAATTGCAGGTGTTGGACTAGCTGGGAGTAATTGCAATGGTCGGACTAATTGCTACTCGCCGGAGGTCTTTGCAAGGGTCGGGCTAACTGCTAGTCGCTGCATATACAACCATAATACTGGGTACGGGTCAAAACCACTGGAAGAAATCATAGAGCCACTGGAAGAAATCACATCACTGGCTATAAAAAAAAAAGTAATTGGGTTCGGCGCTGATTCCTACGATTCCTAGCCTTTAATATTCGGGAATCTACGGTTACCGAAAAAAACAGGAATCGCTCACCTCAAGTGGACACTAGATCTAAATAAATTTTAATTATCAAAATGAAAGATCTACAACACGACAAAATAAATAGTAAATAGCGCCGCACTAGGCCTATGTCAGCCTGAATAAATGAAATGTTCATAAAAGAATTACAATGTTTTGACATTTGATAGTCACTTTATCAAACAATAAAAAAACCCACTGTTTAGGTCACTTGCATTGCCTTTTGAATTTTTGTTTACATTAACTCTATCACTACATATACTAAATGATCAACTATATAAATCAAAGAAGATTAAACTTTAAAACAATATGTGATTGATAAATATGATATTAGTATTAGTCAATATACGAATATAACACTCTTGGATAATTACTTTTTTTGGAAATAATAAAAGTTACTTCCCTTGTTATTCTGATATTCTTACCTCCCCTTTAAAAATCC